CATTCTGTTAATTAATACTTAATTTTAATAATTTTCTTTGTAACAAATCTCAAGGACAGATGTTTGATTTTTCAGGGATTTTTATGCATTAAATTTTCTGGAATCATTTTTCAATTAAAATGGCAAATCTATGATAAATTGACCGTGACACTATTTTAAAAATATCTTAAAAATATAAAGTTAAAACCTTATTAAAATGTGTAAAATTATTTTTTTTTTATTATAGATACAACTTAGGCTATTCTTTATTATCTTTCAAATAAAACCAAAACTTTACCAAAATTTTACCTTATAATACCTAGTTCTTAATAATATATGTAATACCTAGTTCTTTATAATACCTAGTTCTTAATAAATCTGCCTTTCTTTTTCTTGGTTAGCATTCACAACAATAGGTTTTTTCAAATATGCTTTGCTGGTCAATCCACTTTTTTTGATTATTACTCATTTAATTTGTATATGACTTTTTTTGTAACATTCTTAAAAGCAGTCATATTTTTCTTGCTAATATTTTAAATGTAATTTTTAACTTTGGATCTCTGTTCATTTTTTTTTTTTTATAATTTCCAACATTGTGTCCTTATCACTCAATGTTTTTCTCTTTTAGAGGTTATATATTTCTAAAGGACTCTTAGCAACTTTCTTAAAAGTTAAAAATAAATCATAATACCTATAGTATATCATATTTATTTTCAATATGACAAATAATTGTTGAGTTGCATAATAAAATTTCAGACCACCAAATAAGTTATATTTAAATATTTATCATAAAAACAGTTATAAGCTGAAATCCATATGGAAATCTATATGGTATGTTTGTCATAAAAATATGTCCTAAAAATGTTATCAGTACAATTACATACAAATTTTATTGTGCAAACATTGTCTATCATAAAAAAAAACTGATATAATGTACATTGTACAATAACTTCTATATACCTTCATGAATAATTACTTATTTTCAGACTTAGATTTTGATGCAGATTTTATAATTATAAAATGCATAAAAATAGCAACATACATAAATTGATCAGTTCACTCCTAGTGTAAATGCTGTATTTCCAGAAGGCAGAGCTTTCAGCTATGATGCATCCCTTCTTGCAATTCTTGCACACTACTATCAGTTTTCTTCTGAGATATATATATATATATATATATAGAGAGAGAGAGAGAGAGCTTTTTTATCTTAATCTATAGATATTTTTTTTTGTTTTCCCATTTTTATTTTGGAGAATATAACTTATGATACCAAGTAAGTAAAGAAATTTTATCCGTTATCAAATATCAAATTTCGTGCTTTTCTTTTTCTTGGAGTGCATCAGCTGTCAGTGTCAGTAAAATCAAACAGTAAAAACTTATGTTTAAATGTCTTTTTTTAAATATACACTCAAATATAAGCAATTATATATAAAGGATTTTAGCTGTTCTTTCTTTTAAGCTAATACATACAGCAATATATTCATATGTAAGCTCAGACAAGCTTATGTAATTTAAATTTTGTTAAAAACGATTTTGTATACATTCCCTAACATACAAATTCTAAAAATGTTTTATTTACATTCCTCTGACATATAAATTTTAATATTAGCTTTGCAGGTTATTACACAGATGTACATGTGACTGTGTGTGTTATTGCAATTTTGGGATGCGTCACCAACTTATTTCACACTTGGATATTTTCTCAGTATATGTAATATGGTAGACATGTAAACACTTCAAACATTAAGGACTGTAAATGGGGTGGAATCAAGGCAATCCTTATACCAAGCCTGGTAACCATGCAACTGGGGTCAATGAATGGAGGCAGACATGTGGAGACCTAAATTACTACTAAATAGCAATTACTGAGAACATTTTTAGCAAGGAACTTGTTAGTAATGTCCAGTAATTAGTTAATTAACAACTATATATAATATTAGGAAGCATCTTACAATTATTGACTTATTTCCATAAATGCAAATGTACAAATAAAGAACAAAAATACCATAAAATAACTAAATGTACAAATATCACTTTATTCGCCATAAATTAGACATTTTTAGATATTGCAAAAATAATGAGTTAATTTGTTTATGCCAATTGATTACAGAAAATATAATTGTATAATACAATAAGGATTACCTTGGGTGGAATCAATCATATAGTTCAAAGATATTTGAATAATACTGACAAGAAAAATAACAATGGGAAAAATAATTTAAAAAGGTTGTTTAAAATTCTTAGTTGGTGTATAGCCAAAACAAAGTAACAAAGAAAATGTTGGTTCTTTGAGTAAAAACATAAATGATAACATTTATAATAAGTAAGGTGGGTATTAACAAATTGGAGATTTAATGAAGAGTTGCTGAAAAGTTCTTGGCTTGGTCTATTTCCTAAAATCAATATTTCAGTGATCAAACATCAGAATACTATTTTTGGGAAGTAGGTTGAGCTGAAAAAATATTTTAACATTTACTTGTAACAAGAGATTATTTATATATGTTGTCTATTGTGAATTTCTAATGGACAAAATGATATTAATTTCAAGAGTGAATACTGTATGTACATAGGTGTTAGTTGTTTTATACAAGTTGCAATAGTGTTTATCTCTTTTCATTTATCTGCCTCAACAAAAGCCATCTTGAAATTTGGTTTACATTATAAATAAAACTTTTTAAAATTATCCTCATCTTTGTTTTCAGCTGGTCCATTTATAATCTTCTCATGAATATGTGCTGTCTCTGTTTTCTCATTAGTTTAGTTGATTTAATTTAAGCTGGATGCAATGATGCTTGTTACAACATATTTTTGAATTTCTCCATAAACATACAAAGGCAAAAACAGAAATGAACATAAACATACAAAGGCAAAAACAGAAATGAAAGCTAAAGTTTCCATTGTTGAATAACAATGGAAACTTTAGCTTTCATTTCTGTTTTTGCATCTAATAATGCAGGTAGAGACAAAAACTGACTGGATCAATTTAAAATACTTTTTTATGTTCATCATTTTATTTTGAGCTTAATATGCATGCAGATTGACTCTGACTACCAAGCACAAGAGAGTGTCATTTTGTTACTTTTGGTCCAAGTAACTGAAGAAAAGTTTATCAAAAGCAGAACAGCAAAACCATTAGGGCCCTTAATTAATGCTAATTGCAGCAAATCATAAAAAATAACAAAGGATGACAATAATAACAGTTTAATTCTTTCTTCAAACACCATAAGACCTTGAAAGGCAATGAACAGCTATTGATTTTTTTTTACTTTTGCTTTCTGACACAAAATTATGAAACAAAGAAAACTAAACCTTTAATAAAACACAAAGAAATATCCTTTCCATCCTGACAATATAAGCTTTTTGCTAAGAACAGAACTTGGATTCAATCAATGAAAGATGGGCATCTGTTAAATGTCTGCAATTTTGATACAAATACAAATTCTCCTGGACAATAGAACGGCTAATTAGTCAGTCTTGAGAGAGAGATTTTTCTTTTACCTTTTTATCTTCTGTCTCTGCATCATTAGCGTTGTTATCGGCAATTGTATAAATATAGCAGAGAAAATGGAAAATGCTAACAAGTGGCCAAAAAGAAACCATTTAGATGTGAGAGCATTTGTAGTGGTTTTATTTTACTGATATATCTTTAATAAAACACAACATTGTAGATAAATCAAATTTTTTAGACATTCTATTTGTTACATTAATCACACATTTTACTCATTTAAAAAATATCTTAGTCAAAATTCCAAGAGGAAACTACATTTATTAAATTTGTACCAAAATTAGCCAATCCATTGATGACACTCTCTCTCATATATATATATATATATATATATATATATATATATATATACAGTGTAACCCGGATATAAGAGAGATTTTCTCTGGTCCCAAATTAAAATTAGAGCCTGTGTTAATGTATATAAAATAGACCAAACCCGGATATTAGAGAAACCTGCATATAAGAGACTTCTTCTTCAGTCCCGACAACTCTCTTATATCCGGGTTACACTGCATATATATATATATATATATAGAGAGAGAGAGAGAGAAAGAGATGCACACAAGTATGTACGTGTTGATGACACTGTATTGGTTAAATGGACTTTCTACCTATCATTAAGACAACTGCATTAAATTGTCCTATGTGGTTCATGTCAAGAGATACTAGATGTCTGAATCAAATCTGATGTCAATCAGGAATCTTTGATCTAAATAGAGTTGATCTGTGGTGATACCAATATGTACTGGGTTTAGTGTATGAGATACCAAAGTAAATGTTGTACTGTGTCACATCAGAACATCAATAATGCTAGGTACAGAATTGTGTCTCAAAGAATTTCAGTAGATGTGCTGGAAGTGAATCCAGCTGTACTTAATATATGCACATTGCACAAGTCAATTAAATGACAAGAAGTTATATATATGCCAGATCCATGATCGAGATACCCCCACATCTTCATAAGAAGAAAACTGAACATTTGAAGAAATTCCCTAAAAAAAACCCGCATACCTTCCAGAATTGACATTAATTTGATGGACTTCAGATGTGAATAAATAATTATTTTAGTCATGCATTCTCATCAGATGTGACTAACAACATTACAAAATGGTTAAAATTGATCATTCAAAACCCTAAATAAATTCTGGAATTTGTTTTGGTGACTACAGATTTCTAAATACTATACTGTTTATTATAGGCATTAATTTCCTATAACATATGAGTACTCATAGTTAAAATACTTGCTTAAGCTGGAAATAGTTATTCACAAAAATATGCATACTTGATTAAACAGTTGATTATGATGTCAAATTTGATTATTTGCAAATGTTTATTATCTCTAAGATATCAAATACAAACTATGTATTATATTGGCTTTTTAGTTAATGGCAGCACATCACACATAATGTACTAATTGCTTGTTATGCTGCTCATGTTACTTGATTGAATATACCAAGTATAAAATGTTCTTTGCAGGTCAATGACTTATATTTGATCAAAAGCAAAGTTTACTTACCAGCTGGAGTAGGACTCCTTCCTTATACTCGACCATTTCAACATGGACTGCGTAAGCATCTTCAACAGTTGGAGCCGTGATGTTGATGAGTACTTCAAATTCATCGCCTTCCTGAAAATGCACTGCTCCCTGTAAATAAAAAATCTTTAAAATTCAAATAAGCCTCATAATAGACTCGTATAAATCTAACATGTTTAGAACTGTCAAAGTTCTAAAACTAATATTAAATACTGTTTTTGGCATATCTAAAACTAAATTTTATGTGTTTACATTCACCACTTAAAAATTATATATGTTTTTCATTTAACCAGGCTCTATTGGAGATGGTAAATAAGGTTTTTTTTTAAATGATTCTTTTTAGTTATTTTTCTTGTGTGTATACAAGATAAGGAATACTTGGTTTCAGCATGTGTAAAAATATGTTTGAGCACGTTCATTCATCATCACAGTTAAAATATGGTATAAATCAATAAAATTCTAAATATCAATATTATGATAAAAATAAACAAATACATTCAAGATTTCTTCAATTTCACATAAGTTAACGCATGTTCTTGAAAACAAACAAAAGTAAAACAAATCTTGCCTGTCATCTTCAATAAAGCCTATTTTCCAGACTGAATTTATTTGTCAATTTTACCAATAAACACTAATATATAAGTGAAAATTTAGCATTACAAATAAAACAAATAACAGAAAAATACTTTCATCTTATCTATCCAAAGATACTTAATTAAAGACTATTTTAAAGAATTTAATGATGGAGTATGTATTCTTGTAACATTAAGTACTAAATTGTTTATTTTTTATTTAAGCTAAACATTTAGACTATTTCAGTTTTTTACTAACTAAAATGTTGCTGACTGAGAAAATAATCACCTTATGACCAAGAACATGATGTTTTATACTATTAAAGATTTAACTGAAATACAAATGCAGGTTAATGTTGATTTCCTTTTTTTCTTTTAATAATCTTTAGATAGTCACATACAGTATGTATATTACATTTCTGGATGTTATAAAAAAAAACACTTACCAAGCATGTGTGCTACTAAGCCTCATATTGTAATAAACTGGTTGTTAGACACTCAGAATATGTACACATACATATATATATATACATATACATTTAAGGTATGCTATATTTATGGGTAAAAGTGGTCAGTATCTGGGATAGAGCATATGTAAATGTGAATATGTTTGTGTGTGTATATATATATATATATATATATATATATATTGAATTAAGATAATTCAAAATGCAGTTTAAAATCCCTATTAGAATTTTAACAAAAGTGTAATTAAAATGATCAGATCTGAAACCCTTGAACTGATTTTACTTCCCAATTTAATAAATGGATCCTAACATGTGTCAATTCTTTTGATTAAACAATTGTCATTAATCAAATGGAAGAGAGATCATCACAAACGGTATCACTTGATGATGGTTTTTATTTAAACATCAATCAAGAAAATCATTGAAACAGTTCACAAATAAATGCTAGTGAATATCCATTAGTAAGTCTAGCATAAAAGTGATTCCAGTATATAATTTAATGTATTTAAGAAGCAAAATGACAGAAATGTTGCTGATGAGTCACCATATCTTTTTAGATAAACATTTATTCTTCTTTTCATCTCTTTAGCAGAATCCCAAAGTCAAAATCCATTGAGTGATGAACAAATATTTCCTAATTGCTTTTGTTTCCCCATCTGTTGAGGTTAGTGTTAAAAGCATTGCTTAGAGATTCTCTTTATTTAATTGCATTAAGTAACAGAGAATTGTTGCCTTCCCCATTAGGTAAGTAAAAACCACTGTACATGAGTTAATGTTTCTTTAAGAGAGCCTTTAAAGATATTTCTCATCATACACAAGTGTAAAGTTAAAATAAGTATCTAGTTTTGCTTTAAGATTGTACAAGAATATTTCAAACTTTTACACTGAACACATCTCTGAATTTTAATGCTTTTTATACAAAAATTAGAATAGATGAGCAAGATCCATAATAAACTGTAGATTTTAGTGATTTCATGCTTAAAGTTTATTTAGCTTTCATTTAATTATTTTATTTTAGTTTTAATTTCCTAACATTTCTTTGATCACCAGCTCTTATTTGAAATGAAAATGTTTATAAACTGTTAGGTAATGTCTATAAACATTGGGTATATAGAATTTCAAATTTTCCTTCTGACAAAAACTGAAAGTGTGGAATATATTATGAAAATCATTGAGGAAAAGGGTTTTATCATTTGACATAAGACAAATTTTTAAATGTAAAATGTTTTTGTTTTTTTTTTTAGAGCATCTTTTCATAATTTTCTTTCCAAACAAAATATAAAATAGGTTGAACCATATAAATATTTGTTTGTTCAAAATGTATACATCAAATACTAAACTTATTTTCAAGAGTGAACAACAAGAATGCAAAAATATTTTCAGTAGTTTTGGCATTATTGTGTTTCCATTGAGTTTTAGAGTAAAATTCACAGGAATTGACATAAAGTGCATTTGATCTTTAAAATATTGGAATATAACTTTTCCCATTTCAACTAATAGTTATTGTGAAAAGCAAAGAAAAAAACAATTGAATTTTTAATTGAAAAAATAAATATTTGCTCAACAAACAAAAAACAAGCTCAGCTTTGCAATTTTAATTCAATTACATTACCTGATAATAAAACTGAAAGCATGTAAAAACTTCTTTTGAAAGGAAGAAATTGTTAGACTCTTTAAGGCAGGTTCATTTATAATTCATGATGACTGTTTCACTCCAAATATGCCAGCCACAATTAAGAATATTTTTAATTGTGACCAACATATTTCAAATATTGATAAAATATAATACCCCATTTCATTAGATATGAAAAAAATAAAGAGTTTCATAAAAAAAGCACATATGCAAAATCTACCCTAGGTAAATTTACAAAACACAGTTGTTACTCAGAACATGAATTTCTTCTTTACATAATTCTGGATTATCACTTGGAGCTATTTTTTAATTTTCATCATCCTGAGTATAATGCAAAAGATTTTCAGTTAGTCTTGACATTCCAATTTATTTTTTCATCTAAGTCTTCCCATTGTTCTATTCCCACTTTTATTTTTACCCCGAAAAAAAAAGACTCTTTATTCCTTTTCTTTCCTGATTTTCTTGGAGTTTTGAATACTTTTTTCCTTTTCTTTTTTACATCCTCTTTCTCATTTTTCTTTCCCCTCACTTTCATAAATACAGAAAAAGCATCAGAAAATAACCCACAACAGTTCAAATATATAAGACATACCAATAGGCAGTATTCAATATTTAATGCTGTGTATATTATTTAACATGACATCTGTAAGACATCTGTAATAATTTAACTTAAGATTCTGGCAGAGGTGAATACTAACTTTCATCCTACTACTGTTGAAAAATCACCTTTAAGATCATTCAAGTTTTAGGGATTTCTCTGATGGATTCATAGTTTAAGTTTCTATAGGATTTAAGTCAGATGACTAACTAGGCTACTTTAAAATCTTTATTTTCTTCAGCTAGAACCACTTTTACAATACAGTAAGCTTGTAATAGTTACCTTGCTGAAAAATGCAATCTCTCAATATTTTGCACAGATGGAATCATGAACCTTACTGTTATTTTATGATATATAGCACTATCCAGTATTTCATATTCTTCCACTATCATTGGGGTGGTATTTTAGGGGCATATAATGTGTCTTTCTTCATCCAGATATACTTTGAATTGTTTCCATCAACAAGTCTCATTTTATTCTCATCAAATGATAACATTTTGCTTTAGATTAAGAAAGCTTCTTGAGATAACCATGGGTAAAATGTAGACAAGCCTTCTTATTTGTTTGCACCTCAGCAAAGAGAACATTTTAGGAGTCTGAGAATGCAGCCTACCCAGCAGAGTGCCTGATTATTATAATTGTATCCTTGCTGAACTGTCTGCTGATTTTTCTGAAATTCTTCTTAGGTTGTGAATGAGTTCTGCCTTACTTTCCAATGGCTCTAGCTTTTCATTCACTTATTTTATGAGGCAGATTAGTAGTTAGGTCATATTCCTTTCATTTTTGAATAATTGCTTTAATTGTACTGATACAGATTTTCTGCTCATTAGAGATCTTTTGATATCCCATTCAATGATTATGATGGTCAATTACTTCACAAAATTCTTGAGAGATAGCTGGCTTATAGCCATATTATGTTGAAACATATGATCATCAGTTAAGCAACATCAAGCCTAGTCAGCCACTGGGTGACCACTTGGGAATACCAGTTTTTGTAAGCTTGGATGTGTAGGTGGTGGAATGTATAATGGCTCAGAATTGGAAATAAGAAAGACAAGTCCCAAATCCAGTTGAATATATTTATCTATGCACAAATACCCTTAGGAAAGGTATGAATCCACCTCTTTTCCCACTCCCAGCCATGTGTTAATTAGTTGGACTTGTATCAGTAAATCATTATCTCAAAAAAAGTTCTTACAATGTAAAAAATATTTTCAGGCTTTAAATAATCTGCAAAAGATTAAGATGTAAAAAAACAAAACAATATTGAGAGAGGCTCATTTGTCTTTGCCATTGTGAAAATCTTTGCCATGGCAGACAGATCTTCAGTGAGTGTTTCAAAGTGCACATAAATATTATAAATTGTCATTTATGGTATGTTCTAATTGATCATTGAAACTTTATAACTTAATAATTAGAATAGAAGTTTGAGCCTGAAACTGAAAGTTTTATCCTGTTTCATTTATATTTTTGAATGTGTTCACAATTTTAGCATGTTGTTTTTATTGTATTTGTCAATAAATTTATGTATATACAAACAGTTCTTCATTCCACTTTATACATAGTATATCCTATATTCAGCTCAAACTTTAGCAATATTGGAAATTATTATTTTCTTAAAAATATCCTGTGTCCAATAATTTTGCATGTTGCTGTATTTCAATTCTCCTCTGTTTTTCCCTACACATTTTTTCTTCAGTGTCTTAAACTATTTTTTATTTATTTTCCTTTCTTACATCAGGATTCATCCCTTTCAGTAAATTATTGTATCCAATTCCATGTCTGCTTTTTCATCTCCCAGTTCTCTTTTTATTCTTTTGCTCTCTTCTTCTTTTCTTTAATTTTCCAAGAACTCATTTAGTATCTGAGCGGAAATATTGATTGTTTGATGCCATAGCAGAGACATGCAAACAGAGCAGTCATTTATCAAGAGATGTTAAACATACAGGACTTGGTAATAAATAAGTGTAAATTGAGATTTGACAAAGAGAGCTATAAAACAAAGTAGATAACAGGTAAATGTTACAGTCAAACACAAACAGCCTATAATGATCAGAATATAGATTTGCATGTATTTTGTAAAATACTAATGTCATGATAAGACACAATAAAAATCAACACCTGAACTATTCTGGAACAAGTGAGGTTCATATGAACACTTTCTGTGTGAGGAAAGATTAATTTCCTTACACCTTTACTGGTTTATAAAATGGTTCAGTTATAAGCTTGAGCTAAGGGGAATTATGTTACATTTAAAGTACTATTCAATAAATTTGAGATTATTTCTCAATGCCTTTTCCATCCACTAGGATGGTAAAAGTGACACTGAGATCCATAGATGTATTGGGATGGCCAAGGATGCATTCCAAAACCTGGGCAGAGTAGTGTGAGATAGGAGGATTTTTTTGGTAATGAAGAAAAGAATACTGAACCGTTACATGACGTCTGTCCTTCTTTACAGCAGTGAATGTTAAATGATTTCCTCAAAGATGAAGAAGAGTTGAGGCAACAGATATGTGGTTCTACAGAAGGATGCTAAGGATATCATGGACTGAGTGTGTGAGCAATGATGAGGTCTTAGAGAGGATGCAGACAAGGAGGAGGCTTATACTTAACATCAGGAAGAGGCAGCTGAAGTTTCTGGGACACATAATGAGGAAGGAGGGTCTGATACTCATGGATTGAATAGATGGAAAGAGAGACAAGGGAAAACAGCGCATGACATACCTAGCAGCTTTAAGTAAGTGGATGACAGAATGTGGTCTGGGGGAAGGTGGCAAAGTGAAGGAACTTGTTGAGAGATGCAAGGAATAGAGGGAGGTGGAGAGCCATAATCGCCTACATCCTGAAAGGACACGGCACATAGAAAAAAAGAAGAATTACTAACATTTAGACCAAACTTTTTCCAATCTTGACAATAAATGTATTGTTAGCTCCTGCATAATCAAATATTGAATGCATCCATAGATAGATATAGACATTGTGAACAGAGAAATCAACATTGCTCCAATGCAATCTTCAAACCAATTGGATTCGACAGTCTTTTAAAGTATTATCCAAAGTAATTAGTCTTCTAGAGCAAGAATGTAGTTAATCCAGCATAGTCACTGCAATTGAGTATGCAACATAAATGTTTTTCATTGAGTTGCATTACAGATTTTCTAAAATTCTGTTATGTTGAACATTACATCCATTAAAGTATTTGATTTCTATATGGTTAAACATTACCATAAACTACAAATGATTTGATAAAATAAATATTAGTCTTGTTTTTGTAGTTTCTTTTTTGACCTTGATTTTCTTAATTAATATCAAACTGTATCTTTCAAATGGGGCATTACTTTTCTCAAAACATTATATGTATGAAGGGATGTTGACTCAATTCTCAAAGTCTGACCAAATGCATAATATCAAACATTTTTTTGGAAAAGGTTGGTCAAGCTAAACATTTTTCAGCAGTATAGGTTGATATATAAAAATAGACTGAATTGCTTCTGCATGAAAGAAATTTTCTTTTTATGGATCTTTATGCATCTTATATGATGCAGAAAAAAAATAAAGATATATATAAACTAATTTTACATATGTTGCCAAAATTTAAATCTACTGTTATTTGGTTTTCAGGCACAAATCATTGAATATATAATAAAACGCTAGTGCAAGGGAGATAACTCACTAAAACATAACTTGTATAAAATGTTGGAATATACTGTATCTGTATATATATATATATTTACAGATAGAAAATATGTGTAAAAACCTCCAAATAAATAGATCTTATGTACACCTACACAAATATATAAAGACATGTAGTCTGTACATGCATTCTAATTTTTTAAGTCACTTTTGTTTGAATCTATTCAGAGAGAATATTGATGGGACCTATAGCAAAAGACACCATCTGTTCCTTCTGTTAACTTCATTCAGAGCAGTTAGGAAATTTTCTTACATATTACCACCATAGAGAAAGTACAACTCGAATTTAGTTTGAGTAAAATGTGAATTTTGTCTAATTTTATGTACAGTCATTTAAGGAAAACTTATGTAGACTTACCTTATAGTTGCTTCGGATGAACATGGGAATCGGTATATCTTTCCTCATTGAATTAGGGAGATCCCTAATAATTTGAAGATGGGAAGCAGGTTCGTGAGCCTCCACTAGCCAGACACAGAAGCACACCACCAATACAAAAATAAGCGAGTTCTTCAAAGACATTCTCGGGATGGACAACATAGAATTAATCATCTGTGAAAAATAAAGAAAAATAAGAATTGCTTATATTTTTTAAAATTTCACCAAAGCTGTTTTGTGTTAATTTCCTACTTTTATTGTGTCAGTTTTTAACCCTGACTTAAAATAAATGTTCTATTTAACTAAAATAGAGGGAAAAGTTATGACAAAAAATCTACTCTTATGTGCCTAATGGATGGAGGGAAAATTTTTTTTTTTAAGAAAATTTTCCAACCCGACTACCCAAACTTATTAAGACCACACTGTTTATTAATGTTGCACTTTTTAACTCTTCAAATGATTTTCTGATTCCACTTTTTCTAACGCTGGCATTTATTACATATTCAGAAAAATTCTACCCCTCCCCATATGCAGTGTTTATTAAGATTCTTTAGGCACATAAGAATATTATCTTATATATGACAATATTTGTATAATTTGCATTTACTGGCATGAGAATACAGAAAGTCACTTTCTTAGATTAAAGAATACACATATTTTTGTTTCTTCAGGCATTAATATGCATTTCTATATATTTTTTATACAACCTTTTGTCATCAACTTTACAGCTGCATAATATCCATTTTCAGTGCAATGTTAAATCTATTGCAAACTGCATGTCTGCTTATTTTCTTGTGCAGGATTTGGTATTGGATATAAATATTTTATTCTGATTAACTTAGTCTAGTACAATGTTACAAGAGTTAGGCATTTAAATTTAGTAGAGTTTAACAAACGTACCTGCAAAAAATAATAGTGTGTTAAAAGGATGTTTTTACTCTTCACACCATTATTAGTATATACTTCATCTTTTTTGCAGGTATGTTTGTTAAACTTTAGTAAATTATTCTTGTAAAAAAACAATCTAATAAATAAATAGCAGTTAACATTTTGGTTTTTAATTCTCAAGAAAAAATGTATAATTTTAGAGGCTCTCGACCTATTTTCTGGAAAATGCATTTTTAAAAAATTTATACTAATATAGTAATTTGTTTGTATTTAAATTTTCTTGTTCACAGGTATTTTTATGAATAAAAAATTTGTTTTTATATTTATTTCATTATAATATGGTAAATAATAAATATTGTAGTTTGATAACATACTGTTATAATCTTGTAAACATAAAATTATTCTCGTAAATAAACACTCTAATAAATAAATAGTATTTAACATTTATAACATAGTTATCAATTCTCAAGAAAAAAAATCCAGTTTCATATATTTGGGCTTTATTAAAATTTTAAATATAGCTTTTGAAAACAATGAAAATTACTGCAGGCGGATAAAGTAATAGTAGTTTCAAGAAAAATCATCCTTTTGACAAATATTTTTTTGCAGGTAGTTGAACTTTTCTCAAATTTATTACCAAGGTTTATAAAAACATTACTGAGATTCAGCTATGAGTTTGCTATGTATGTGCATATGTATATTATTTTGTTCCAAGAAGGAACTTTTACAGACAAATAGAGGTTCAGTTGATGGAATCAAAGTTAGAAGATTCCAAAATTAGTGCACTGTCAATACATTTTGGTCTTAATAAATTACTTTTTCTTTTAATCAAGTTGTAGACTGTCATTTATTGTATACAAATACATACAAATATGTACACACACATACATATAACAAAAGGTCCATGGAAAGAGAAAACCTTTACCAAGAAACTTCAAAGTTGGGATAATATTGACATTTGAAAGTTAAGTAATCTTTTCATATAATATTACATATATATATTCATGGCTTTAATCCTATATAGCAAATGTTAAGCAGTATGCCTACATGTGTGAGTTTATACAATAAATAAAGGACACTGCCAACAAAAATATTGCTAAATTGCAGTCTTCACAGAGTGCTCAATATCAGCATATAGAGAAAAAGTTAAAATCAATTATAAAACACAAATAACTTGAAATTGATACTAAAAGTTTCATGTTAGAACAGTGATTGTCAAGTCCTAAAAAGAATGAAGAAGTCAGCTTTATTAGTCATATAAATACATCCAGACATGCACATACTATTCACTAAACAGCATATTAATATCCATGCATACATGTGATGAACTTTTGCTCAAGTAGGATCATACAAAGATGATCCTCAGAAAGTGGAATGATAAAAATTGACAAGGAGAATTGAGAAAAAGTCACAAGATTTTTCAGAGTTCAGCTTTAACATCTAAATTGAAATTAACTTGAAAGAAATGAATTATCTAAATATTACACCAAATCTAGATAATAGAGTTTAGCAGCCAATTCAGAATGCAGGGTGATGGATTGATTTATATAAACACTTCATCTAACCACTCAACATCTTTGATCAAGTGAAAGTTGGATATGCAATAGCATTAAAAGGAGTGGTTGCCCATTTGATTTGCTTTACAAGTAAAATCATACAAAGGTGAAATTCCACAGTGGGCAAAACATAATTTGGTTTATTCTTCTAACAAGGCTGTAAAGTGAAAAAGATGTTTATCAAGTTAACCAATAAGCACTTCCCTAAAATTTGCAGGATTCATAAGATTGTTAACAGGAACTTTTTTGAAGTCAGTTATTGTTGGATGAATAACTTGCCTCAGTTGGTGAATATAAGGAAGGTTTGTGATAATTCTAAACTCTTATATAACTATTAAAGTAAAGAAAATTGTACTTTGCAAAATAAATATTTTTTACACAATGTTGTTTCCCAAGTTACTGTGAAGGCAGGTGACATACCTGATATAGTGCACATTGAAGTTACTGAGGAGGTGGAATGAAAACAGCTTAAACTGTCAAAATACATGTGGCACATGTAGGTGAATATCTGAAGTGAATTGGTAGGTAGGGAAGTATTCAAATGCATGGAAGGTTCTAGATGATGATGTCAGTTTGTATTCATTGAACAGAGCAGATTGTTGAATAATAGATCTAAGTTAATCTTCAAATGCAGACATGAAAATAAATATGCTGTCTACCTCTTGATTAATGAATTGTATGATTGGTTGGTGAGTGAATTGGTAGGCATATCTATATGACTGATGAGGCTCATATACTTTTTTCTTGCTAGATGCTATTTGTTTCAACATTAAGCTTTTAGCAACAATTTAAAGTCATTTGTATATTGTATATATATATATATATATATATTCCAGTCAAATCCATTACATTCACTTATATGCTAATACCCTTGGGAAAGGTGTGAATGCTCCTCTTCTCCCTCCAGCTATGGGTAAATAGCAGGACAGACTGGGTTCTATAACCTTGGATGGTAACTGGTCTAGGAGAAGGACAACTCTGAATTCAAAATATGCGGGGGGTCGTTTGGGGACCTTGTGGTACATAGTGCACTAGGTCTCTGTATTCGGCCATTCAAAAAGTGTGGATGGTCCTGCATGAAACCTTCACCACTATAATCAAATCTCATGTGCTGTTGTCAGGCGGTTGGTTTCCTAGGAACTGATCTGCTTGACCCTCATACGTCAAATTCGACGGGAGAGTTGAGTAATATATATATATATATGTGGGAGTCTGTGAGTGAATATATTTCCTATCTCCATTTCTCTTATAACCCAAGTGAAAGACACTCATGCACATATATAAAGAGATTATTTCCAAAAATATTTAAAGTAAGTTTTATGTTGACCAAACCATTCTGAAAACTGACCATTTTGAAAATGTATAACTTATTTAGTACACTTGTTTTGTACTGTAATGTCATTACCACTTTTAAGTGACACTATTAAAAGAAATGCTGCATATATTTTATAATCAATCTTCATCAAAACAAATGAAGAAACCAGCCATTATTTGCCAAAAATGAAAGGAAAAAAAAATTGATTCTCTGACTGAACAATATTTTTTTTCTTAGAACTTCCCATTTAACATTTTATTAAATATTGTTACAGGGTTTTACAGTTTCTTGTGTATTTTCTTTTTTAAGACTTGATACTGAATTAGGAATTATTCTGTGTGTATTACATCATTAAATAATAAAAGATTTTCATCTATAATTTTCATTTTTTATAAAGGGAAGTTGAAAAGTTCATAGCTTGGCCAAGAAGCACTTACAAAAAATAAATCATTTGGTCAAATATTTGGAAGTGGATTAGGCTGAAAACTTTGCAGTATACCCTTATAATACAGTATTAGATTAACTTAAATATAAACAGGGACAAAAATTATTTCTTCTAACTTTATTCATAGCAGATTGGCAAGCAAAGAGCTATCTTATAACATTTGCAAATATTCATGCATTCATTCTCAAGTGATAGTATACCAAGAAGGAGTTGTTGATTACATTGATTTCATATATATTAGGAAAGAAAAAGAATGCAATAGCCAAGATATGATATTAACAATAAAAATGAAAATAGTCCAAAAATATATATAAAATAATGAAATAATTAGAATACTTCATCTCAGAATTCCAGAAGCCCATTGAATCAATCAGGCCCTTTGGTATATCACTACACTCAAAATACTGGTAAATTGTTTTAATTTGATCAACCCGGTAATAAAAAGAAAATTCTCATTTAATAACATTATTTGGAAATATGATGATGTTGGTACTAAAAGATGATATCAATATCTGAACTATATTTGAATGAGAGATTAATTAATTGATAGATATTTATAATCTGCATGTTTAAAAGGTTTTACAAAGGCGCAAATGCACTGACTACTCAGCTGATATGACAATAATGTTTTATCGACATATGAATAGATAGAGCTTGCTTATCTTTTAAAATAAGCATATCAAATTTTGGCTTTTACTTGATTATTAACACAGGCTAAATGTAGTGCAATAACATAGATGAGTTGATATTTTAGAAAATATTTAATTATTTAATCAACATCAACAACTCAAACAACTAAGCAAATCAGACGTGGAAAAAAATCAAGTGAATAAATTTATTTAGAATCCTGGTATTTTCCATATATAAAGTTATTATATTTCTTACACTGTACAGTACATATTATGATTTTCTCTTTGTCAGCCCTCTAAGGATGAATTGC